TTAAATTTTTTAATTTTTATAATTTCTGAATTAATTAATAAACTTTTGAAATTTTCCAAATTTTTCGAATTGTTTAAATCTCTGGAATTTCTGAAAATATCACGTTTTTATAATTTTTGGCATTCCGACCCCATGGGAAATGTTAATATTCTATTTTTTAAAAATATTTTGAAATTTTAAAATTGTTAGAATTTTTGACCATTTGGAATTTTAAAATTTCTGTTTTTTACACCTTGGAAATTCCAAGTTTTCTAGAATTTTTAGAAATTGTCCAAACTTCAAGCACAGTTACAATTTTTGGAGTTTAGGAATTTCCGTTCTTCGATAGATTTTTGAAGATTTTCGGAATATAATCAGATTTTTAAATTCTTAGAATGTTTGACACATTTGACACCTCAGGTTTTTAAGAATTTTAAAATCTCTAAGTTTTTGATACTTCAAAAATATTTTGAAAATTTTAAGTTACAATTTTTTACGTTTTTGGAAGTTTTGAATTGTCTAGTTTTTTTTACAAAATTTCAAAATTTCAGGCATCGACAATGGAGTTTTCAAACTGTCATTCTTTAATAGATTTTTGCAGTTTTAAATTTGTATGTTTTTTGAGTTATGTATTAGAACCACGAATGAGAATTTTTTTAATTTTTATAATTTCTGAATTAATTAATTAACTTTTGAAATTTTCCAAATATTTGGAATTGTTTAAATCTCTTGAATTTCTGAAAATATTAACTTTTTGTAATTTGTGGCTTTATGAATCATCTGGAATTGGTAGAATCCTTGGAGGTGTTTGAATTTTCTAGTTTATTAAATTTTTGGAATTGTCGAAATTTTTGAGTTTCCAAAGAATGTTTGACACTTGGAATTTTAAAATTTCTGTTTTTTACACTTTGAAAATATGGAGAGTTTTAGAATTTGTAGAAATTGTAGATAGATTTTTGAAAATTTTAGGAATATTTGAAATTTTAAAATTCTTACAATATTTGATACACTTGGAACTTCAGAATTTTTTTATTTTAAAATTTTTGACTCTTATATAATTTATGAATTTCCTAAGTTTTTAGAAATTTTTAAAAATTTTTCATTTTTTTGGAATCCATGAACTTTTCAAATTACCATTCTTTAGTGAATTTTTGCAGGTATTAAATTTTTATAATTTCAGGTTTATTATAACTTTTGTAATTATCACAATTTTGTAATTCGTTAAATCTCTGGAATTACTTAGGAACTCTAAAATTGTTACAAATTTTGACACTTTTGGAACTTTTGGATACCTTGTTGAACAATTTATCCATTTTATATAAGATAAAAACGTTGTCAATAATTACTAATATTAAAAGAGTAGTCATTACAAAGAAGAGAGGGTGGGTGGGCGGGGCAAGTGCTTGTTTATACGACTGTAGAAAAAACACAAACCATAAACTGTGCCGGGATCAAATTTTTGATTGTCATTTTTCAAAACTGTCTAAGTCAGACCAATTTTCTTTTGAATTTGTACTTGAATTGAGTGACTTTTCAAAGTGTTGAAGTGACGATTTTTCGTCGAGCTTTTTTATCTTGACGTAACTTTTTCTCCGGCGGTTTCCGGAGCACTCCTCCTCCCGATATTCCCTCGTTAATTTCCCGAATAAATTATTTCATCCCTTTGCCTGAAAAGTGCGCGTTAGCCGCGCTCCTGAAATTACATCCTGCAGCTAAAGAAGCGATTTTCGCCGACAAATAGCGACCTCTCGGGACCACATTTACACTCTCTGTGACGCTCCATAATCCCCAGAAAGAGGAATCCACCCGGAGCTTAGAAAAGATATTATACATCCTGCATAAACACCTCGCTCGCCACATAAAACTCACGTGTATTCGCCACTCTTCATTCCGGGCATTAAAACGATTAATTTTACACGGGCTCCGGGCTTAGGAGGCTTTTTCAGCGACGAGGGGAAGATTTGCAGCCTCGGAGAGCTTACATTCGTCTATTTGTGTCCTTTTTATTTTTTTTAACCCTTGACGTTCTCGTTTTAAAATTCCGGGCTGTACAAATCGCGTTTTTACTTCCCGAGCGTAAGCAAAGGAAGTATTGTAATCGAGTCCGTCGGCCGACTCTCTACTTTTACGTTTTCTCGATCTTTCATGACCCCTAGAAGACGAAGAAATAGGTCTCCCATTTCCGTCTGTCTGTCCGTCCGTCTGTCCGTCCGTCTGTCCGTCTGTTGTCCCGGATTTTATTAGACAGATAATCTCCGAAAGTACTCGACCGATTGTTGTGAAATTTTGTACTTATATTAAGAATATCATGTAGATGGTAAAACGCTAACCAAAATTTGTCTAATCATCCCCACCACTAATGCGATGACGTCACTTCAAAATTGTACATAGTAAATGGGTTTTCAATTGTATAAAATAACATAGTCCTACACATGTAGTTTACAACTCTGAATCGACTTTTCACCCGAAACGTCCAGATTTTTGGAAAAAAAATCAAAATTATAAAACAACATTTTGAAATTTAATTTTTAATCTGCTAACCAGAATGCTTTGAAATGTTGCAGATGTTTTAAGGCTATAAAGAGTATCATAAATCTTTAGTCAAAAAATATTTGCTTATCCCCTCCAAAAACTTGATGACGTCAGCTCAAAAGTTTGTGGAATAAATCATATCTAAAATGTACAAAATATGATGAGTCTGTACTTGTGATCTATCACTCCATTCATATTTTTTGGATTTGCATATACAGGGTGACTCAAAAAAATTAATGAATGCGTAAATATATTTTATTGATTTAATCAGGAACTACAAAACCGAATGCTCTGAAATCTTGCAAATGTTTTAAGGTCATAAAGAGCATAATAAATGTTTAGTCAAAATATATTTGCTTATCCCCTCCAAAAACTTGATGACGTCAGCTCGAAAGTTTGCCGAATAAATCATATCTAAAATGTACAAAATATGATGAGCCTGTACTTGTCATTTATCACTCCATTCATATTTTTTGGATTTGCATATACAGAGTGACTCAAAAAATTAATGAATGCGTAAATATATTTTATTGATTTAATCAGGAACTACAAAACGGAATGCTCTGACATCTTGCAGATGTTTTAAGGTTATAAAGAGCATAATCAATGTTTAGTCAAAATATATTTGCTTATCCCCTCCAAAAACTTGATGACGTCAGCTCGAAAATTTGCCGAATAAATCATATCTAAAATGTACAAAATATGATCAGTCTGTACTTGTGATCTATCACTCCATTCATATTTTTTGGATTTGCATATACAGGGTGATTCAAGAAAATAAATGAAAGCGTAAATTTATTTTACTGATTTACTCAGGAACTACAAAACCGAATGCTTCGAAATCTTGAAGATATTTTAAAATTATCATAAGCATGGTAAATTTTTGATCAAAACGTATTTGGTCGTCCCCCTAAAAAATTTATGATGTCACCACAAAATTTTGCTGAAAAAATCCTATCTAAAATGTACAAAATATGGTGAGTCTCTTCTTATGATTTATCATTCCATTCAAATTTTTTCGATTTGCATATACAGGGTGACTCAAAAAAATTAATGAATGCGTAAATTTATTTTATTGATTTAATCAGGAACTACAAAACCGAATGCTTTGAAATCTTGCAGATGTTTTAAGGTTATAAAGAGCATAATGAATTTTTAGTCAAAATATATTTGGTTATCTTCTACAAAAAACTGATGACGTCAGCTCAAAAGTTTGCCGAATAAATCGTATCTAAAATGTACAAAATATGATGAGTCTGTACTTTTGATTTATCATTCCATTCATATTTTTGGATTTGCATATGCAGGGTGACTCAAAAAAATTAATGAAGGCGTGAATTTATTTTATCGATTTAATCAGGAATTACAAAACCGAATGCTTTGAAATCTTGGGAATATTTTAAAGTTATTATAAGCATGGTAAACTTTTGTTCAAAATGTATTTGTTCATCCCTCCTAAAAAAATTGATGACGTCACCCTTAAATTTTGCTGAATAAATCCTATCTAAAATGCAAAAAATATGATGAGTTTGTACTTGTGATTTATCATTCCATTCATATTTTTTAGATTTTCTTAAGAGGTGGTTCAAAAAAATTAATGAAGTCAATTTATTTTATTGATTAAATTAAAGGCAACACTTATTATTAGTATTACACCCCAACCAACCCAATTTGGTAGACACAAAATTTGTTAAAGGAAAAACTCGGTTGAAATATAAGGGTAGCACGCTTATTTACATCGACTTTAACATTACAGACCTGCATTTGTTTTATGCGTTCACTTGGTTCCGCGAATGTGAAATAGACATGTTTATAATCAACCAATTGTGAATTTCACCGTCAAGAATTAAAATAAAACCCAATGTTTTATATAATAAGCGGAAGTCGAAGCAATAAAACCGATGGTCGTTTTGTTTACAGTTTCTCTATTTGACTCTCACGTATGATGTTACGCCTGTCATCTTAAATTAAGAATGTTTATACATACACGATTTTCAGTTGCCTCTGATACGTAGGTATACGTGAGTAAATTGTTTCGTTATTTTATTGATTATTACAAATCAATATTCAAACGACCCAATTCATTTTCCCGAAAATTTGAGAATATAATAATTTTATTCTTAGTATTACACTACATCTATCCCAACTGATATACGTGTCCTTGCAAAAATGTTGATGACGTCATCGCAATTTTTTTTTAAATTCCCACTACAAAAATGTAATGAGAAAAAAACACAATAGGCATGCAGTCGTCAAGTTTCCGACAGCGAGGGAAGTACTGTCTAAACTCTTTAGACCAATTTTTTTATTTAATGAATAAATCGCGCGTAATTACCGGCAAAAAAATCATATTTGACGATTTGCCTTGCAGATTACGTCTTAAATCAATATCAAAGGGCGAAATTGGGGCGTGAAACTCAAATTGCCCCAAGTAATAACACTTTCCTCACGATTAACCTTCAAAGCGGCCATTTTTCCACATTTTGCAGGTCATTTCATCAACTTCGACGTGCAGGAATGTCACACGAATAGATTGTTCTGCAACAAAATCTGGCAGGCGGTGAAGTACACCAACGGGGTGGTGGGGGAGGTGACCCAGGAGACGCCAGAGTGGGAGAGCTTGGGACCCATGGACCGCTGGGTGCTGAGCAGACTGACCCACATGGTACAGAAAACCCGGAGCGGGATGGAAAGCTACGACTTCCACGTGGCGACGGCAGCCATAAAGGACTTCATGTATTACGAGTTCTGCGATGTGTATTTAGTAAGTAAGACTAAGAATGGAGAAAACCCTCCCCGATAATCCCCGTCGCATTCCATTCTTCCCGTCCGGCAATTAAGGATATTGCGGGAAAAATTCCCCTTGCACTCGACCTGCCGGAAATGAAAAGCTCGATATTGCATCGAGAGTTCCCCCGGGAGCTATCGTATTTCTCTAATTGAATCGAAAGCTCCTTACTCATTTGTGTATTCCGCTCGGAATGTTAATCCCCGGCCGATAATTGCTCCCAAAGAAAATCCCCTTGGAGGATTAAAAAGTGGCGCACTAACCGACTCCGAACTAATCCATTTCACCTTGCCCTTAATGGACGTTCCGTGTTCTTGTAGTGATTTTTTTCCGCTATTGACCGCTATCTCTTCCGTTTAGGAGACGACCAAACGGGCTTTCAAGCTGTCGGATCGGGAAAGGGCCGCGGGACACGGCTGGACCTTGACGACTTGCCTGGACACGGCCCTGAGGGCCGTGGCGCCCTTCATGCCCCGGCTGGCCCAGCATTTGCACGCGCGGCTGACGCGACCTGAGGGGGCGCGAAGGGTGGATTATCCCAAATTGGACAAGGAGGACCGGGAGTGGCGCGACTTTTCTCTGGAGGCGGACGTGGCCGAGGTCCTGGAGCTGGTAGTGGCCGTCCGGAGGCTGAAAAAGGTGTTCGGGGTGGTGGCAAAGCACAGCCCGGAAGGTAATAATAATAAATTTAAAGGGCGGATTTTCGGGTTAAAAAACAAAATAAGCCCTAAAATCGAGCAACTGAAATATTTGAAAATTGAAAAATCGAAAACATAAAAATTGAAACGAAAAACCGGTTTTTAAATATTTTAAATTTTTTTTTAAAGTTCATAATTTTACAATTTTTCGGTTTCTACAGATTTTTTTAATTTTTCGATTCTTCACTTTTTCAAATTTTTATTTGAATTTTTCGTTGCTTTCAATTTTGGGATTTTTCGTCTCTTCAATTGCTCTAAATTCTTAAACTTTCGTGTTTCATTGTTTCAATTTTTTTGTTTTTCTATTTTTATTAGATTTTTCCGAGTATTGAATTATTTTTCGATTTTTGCTTTCTGGAATTCAATTTTTCGACTTTTGTTTTCTCCAATTCAATTTTTCAATTTAGATACTTTGATTTTTTGTTGTTTTCAGTTTTACGATTTTTCTGCTCTTGATTTTTATTTTTTTTGTCAATTTTTCGTTCCATCAAAGTTACTATTTTGCAGTTTTTCGATTTTTCAAATATGTATTACATTTTTTAATTTTTTAGTTTTTTGATGTTTCAGTGTTCCAATTTTTAGGTTTTGCATTGTGATTATTCAGTTTTTCAATTTTTAGATTTTGGATTCTTCGGTTTTTCAATTTTTTCGATTTTTATTTTCTTGATTTAGTATTTTTCTAGTTTTCAGTTTTTAGATAAATTAATTTTACGTTGTTGTCAATTTTGTGATTTTTCGTCTCTCAAATTTTAGTTTTAAACTTTTTAAAATATTCTGTTCAGTTTCTCGAATTCTTAAATTTTTCGATGTTTCGTTGTCGCAGTTTTTCTATTTTTCCATTTATCAATTACATATTCGATTTTCCCGAGTTTTGAATTATTTTTCGATTTTTACTTCCGCGAATAAAATTTTTGGATTTTTATTTTTTCGAATACAATTTTTTTCAAATTTGCAATTTTTCGTTTCACCACTTTATAATTTTTCAATTTTTCAATTTTTCGTTCCTTGTATCTCAAATCGAGACACTGAGAAGTCCAAAAATCGAGAACGTCTAATCGAAAAGTCCTAAAATCCAGAAATGGAAAATTTGGAGAATCAAGAAATTGAAAAATCGAAAAATCCAAAAATCGAAAAGTCGAAAATCCAGAAATCGAAAAGTCGAAAAATCAAAAACTGATCGAAAAAAAACAATTCGAAAATTCGATTAAACTAAATTTTGGGTTTTTGAATTTTCCGATTTTCAATTTCTCGAATTTGCAAGTTTTGCATTTTTTGAACTTATTAGATTTTTCAATTTTTCGATTCTCTATTTTCTGGAATTTCATTAAATTCTTAAACCTTTTGGTGTTCCATTATTGCATACATTTTTTAGATTTTTTATTTTTTCGACTTTAAGTTTTTCGATTTTTATTTAGTAATTTTATGTGTTTACAAGTCTTATATTTTTTAATTATTATTAATTCATTATATTCTCGGTTTTTAATTCTTAGATTTTCAATTTTCTCATTTTTCATTTTCTCGATTAAAATTTTTAGATATTTAATTAAAAATAAGTAATTTGTTTACAGAAATTTTGTTTGATTTTTGTTTATTATAATTTTTCGATTTGTAGTCTCCTGGTTTTTAAGTTTTCGATTTGCGATTTTTTAATTTTTAAATATTTTAAATTTTCTTTTTTTTTCAAATTTCACGTTTTTGCAATTTTTCGGTTTCTCACATATGTATTAGATTTTTTTTGTTTTTCGATTCTTCACTTTTTCAAATTTTTATTTGAATTTTTCGTTGCTTTCAATTCAAGGATTTTCTGTCTCTTCAATTGCTCTAATTTCAGTTCTGAAATTTTTGTGTTTCATTGTTGCAATTTTTCTATTTTTATTAGATTTTTCCGAGTTTTAAATTATTTGTTCGATTTTTGCTTTCTGGAATTCAATGTTTCGATTTTTATTTTCTCCAATTCAATTTTTCAATTTAGATGCTTTGATTTTTTGTTGTTTTCACTTTTACGATTTTTCTGCTCTTGATTTTTAATTTTTTGATTTGTCAGTTTTTCGTTCCTTCAATGTTATGAATTTTTTAGTTTTTTGATGTTTCAGTGTTCCAATTTCTAGGTTTTTCATTGTGATTATTTAGTTTTTCAATTTTTCGATTATTTTATTTTTTAGGTTTTTCAATGTTTTCGATTTATATTTTCTTTATTTAATATTTTTCTAGTTTTTCCATGTTTCGATGTCGCAGTTTTTCTATTTTTCCATTTATCAATTACAAATTCGATTTTTCCGAGTTTCGAATTATTTTTCGATTTTTACTTCCGCGAATTAAATTTTTGGATTTTTATTTTTTCGATACAATTTTTTTCAATTTTGCAATTTTTCGTTTCACCAGTTTTTAACTTTTTAGTTTTTCAGTTTTTCGTTCCTTGTATCTCAAATCGAGACACTGCGAAGTCCAAAAATCGAGAACTTAAAATATTTGAAAATTACTAAATCGAAAACATCAAAAATCGAAAGGTCGAGATATGGAAAAATCGGAAAAGTCGAAAAATTGAAATAACGAAAAATTGAATTATTCAAAAGTCGAAAAATTGAGAAACTGAAAAATCGAAGTCCCAAATCAAGAAATGGAAAAATAAAATAATCGAGAACTGAAAAACCAAAATATCGAAAAGTTGAAACGCCTAAATCGAGAAACCCAAATATTTTAAAATTGAAAAATCGAAAACAACAAAAATTGAAACGAAAAATAAAAAAATGGTAAAGTGAAAAATCGAGAACTGGAAATAGCGGCACCTCGAATCCAAAAAATTCGAGTAATTGAAAATTCGAAAACTCGGAAAATCGAAAAATCGAGAAATTGGAAAATCGAAAAATCCAAAAATCGAAAAGTCGAAAATCCAGATATCGTAAAGTCGAAAAATCGAGAGATTGAAATAATATTTGATAATCGTAAAATCGAAACCAGAAAACACCAAAAATCGAAAAAACCAAGAATCGAAAGGTTGGAGAATCAAAACTGCCAAGAATCGAGAAATTAAAAGATCAGAAAGTCGAAAAATTGAATTAACGAAAAATCGAATTATCCAAAAGTCGAAAAACTGAGAAACTTAAAAATCGAAGTCCCAAATCAAGAAATGGAAAAATAAACTAATAATCGAGAACTGAAAAACCGAAATATCGAAAAATTGCAATGCTAAAATCGAGAAACCCAAATATTTGAAAATTGAAAAATCAAAAATACCAAACATTGCAACGAAAAATAAAAAAAATGTTAAAGGGAAATCGAGAAATTAAAAGTTCGAAAACTCGGAAAATCAAAAAATCGATAAATTAGAAAATCGAAAAGCTGAAAAGTCAAACAATCGAAGAAACGAGAAATGGAAAAACCGAAAAGTCAATAAATCCAAAAATGAAAAGGTTTAATGTTATTCTGTTTAATTTTTTTGAGATATCGTGTGTATATACACAGTTCTAAAAGTAGGACGGAATAAAGAAAGAAGAAAATTCTAATTAATGAGTTAATATCATTTTTAGTAGGCTTAAAATTACCAGTTTGTAAAAATTTTTATATTTGAAAAATAATTTGAATTTTTCTGGGTGCGATTTTAATTTTTTACAATTTTAAGTTCTTTATAGATTTCTTTAATTGCATATTTAAACGGGTTTTAATTGCAGAACTGGAATTTATTACTTTTTTAAAATTCTTTGGATCCTCATATTTTTGGTGGATTTCTGAAAAAAAAAACGAAAGGTCTTAAAACTCTACATTATTTTTTATATGTGTTTATTTTCTCTTATATACATACTAGAAAAAGATAGCAAATTGTAGTTTTTGGATTTTTGGTTTTATTTTTGAACTTTTAGAATCTTTCTTCTTATTACAGAGTTCAATTTTTCTATTTTTTATTTACTAATTTCTCTTAGATTCTTTTATTTTTCTAGTTTCAACTGTCTTGTTTTGTTTTAAAGTTTTTTTTTTAGTTTTTTGTTTCTTCGATTTACCGATTCTTCAATGTTTCGTTTTGCATTTATGTCATTTTAAGATTTTTCGATTCTTTAATTTTCCACTTATCCGATTTCTTATTTTCCAAGTTCTTCGTTTTTTTCAATTTCTTGACTTTTTATTGTCATTTTTAAACTTTCACTTTTTAATTTTTTGTTTCTACATTTTTCATTTTTCGATTCATTAATTCAGTTTTTCCATTTTTGATTTTTTCTTTTTTTGAGTTTTCCGATTTTACAACCGATTTTTCTGTCTGAGGATTTTTAAATTTCTCGAGTTTTCATAACATTTTGTTTGTTTGAGCTTTAATTAATAATTTTAGAAATATGTATTTTGCAATTAGGCTCTGCCCCTCGGTCTAACAACCAATGAAAAATTCATCTCAATTGAGATCGGGGCGGGTGGGGGGGGCTTAATCTTTGTGTTTTTTTAATATATAGAATTTTATTTCAACAAACAAAATAGCTAAACACGTTTTGAGATTCTTGTTGGGAAAAAAAGACTTCGTATATTAAGAAAAAATGGACAAAACATAAGCCCCGCCCACCCACCCCTTCTCAATTGTGACGAATGCTTTATTCATCGTGAGCTGACGGGCGGAGTTTAGTTGCAAAATTCTCATTTCTCTACAAGAAATTGCCATAGAAATTCATCACAATTGAGATCGAGGTGGGTGGGTGGGGCTTAATTTTTCTTTTTCATTATATACACAGTTTTTTTTCAACAATTTTTTACTGCAAATACCAAGAGATATTATAATAAAAAACATAAAATCAACCAACTGTTCAAAAAGGTGAAGTCGTAAAATCGAATGGAAAAAATTCTGGAATCGAGAAATTGAAAAACTGAAGTTGACAAATTCAGAAATCGAAAAGTCGAACAATTCAAAAATCGAACTGAATATTGAAAAGTCGAAAAATCGAGAAACTGAAATATTTGAAAAATGAAAAATCGAAAATACCAAACATTGAAACGGAAAATCAAAAAATGGTGAACAAAAAATCGAGAACTTCGAATCGAAAATTCAAATATCGAAAAGTCGTAAAATCGGGAAATGGAAAATTTGGAGAATCGAGAAATTGAATAATCGAAAAATCCAAAAATCCAAAAATCCAAAAATTGAACCATCCAAACATCGAAAAGTCGGAAAATCGAGAGATTGAAATATTTCATAATTGTAAAATAGAAAACATCAAAAATCAAAAATTCGATATACAAATTTGAGAAGTCGTAAAATCGAATGGAAAAAATTCGGGAATCTAGAAATTGAAAAACTGAAGTTGAAACATTCAGAAATCGAAAAGTCGAACAATTCAAAAATTGAAATGAATATTTAAAAGTCGAAAAATCGAGAAACTGAAATCTTTGAAAAATCAAAAATCGAGAACTTACAATATTCGAAAATTTCAAAATCGAAGACACCAAAAATCGAAAGGTCCGAGAATCGAAACTTCCAAGAATTGAGAAATTAAAAGATCGGAAAGTCGAAAAATTGAGAAATCAAAATTTGAGAAGTCGTAAAATCGAATGGAAAAGTTTGGGAATCGAGAAATTGAAAAACTTTCATTTCTCTACAAGAAATTGCCATATGAAATTCATTACAATTGAGATTGGGGTGGGTGGGCGGGGCTTAATTTTCGTGTTTTATTTTTAATATATAGAGTTTTCTTTGAACAATAGGATAATTAATCATACTGTCGGCTTTTTGTTGGGAAAAGAAGACTTCGCACATTAAGAAAAAATGGACCAAATGTAAGCCCCGCCCACCCACCCCTTCTCAAGTGTGATTAATGCTTTATTCATCGTTAGCTGAAGGGAGGATTTTAGTTGCAAAATTCTCATTTCTCTACAAGAAATTGCCATATGAAATTCATCACAATTGAGATTGCGGTGGGTGGGCGGGGCTTAATTTTCGTGTTTTTTTTTAATACATAGAGCTTTCTTTGAACAACAGGATCCTTAAATATATTGTCAGTTTCTTGTTGGGAAAAGAAGACTTCGCATATTAAGAAAAAATGAACCAAATGTAAGCCCCGCCCACCCACCCATTCTCAATTGTGATGAATGATTTATTCATCGTTAGCTGAAGGGGGGATTTTAGTTGCAAAATTTTCATTTCTCTACAAGAAATTTCCATATGAAATTAATTACAATTGAGATTGGGGTGGGTGGGCGGGGCTTAATTTTCGTGTTTTTTTTTAATACATAGAGCTTTATTTGAACAACAGGATCCTTAAATATATTGTCAGTTTCTTGTTGGGAAAAGAAGCCTTCGCATATTAAGAAAAAATGGACCAAATGTAAGCCCCGCCCACCCACCCCTTTTCAATTGTGACGAATGATTTATTCATCGTTAGCTGAAGGGGGGATTTTAGTTGCAAAATTTTCATTTCTCCACAAGAAATTTCCATATGAAATTCATCACAATTGAGATTGGGGTGGGTGGGCGGGGCTTAATTTTCGTGTTTTTTTTTAACATATAGAATTTTTTTTGAACAACAAGATAGCTAAACACGTTTTCAGTTTTTTGTTGGGAAAAGAAGACTTCGCATGTTAAGCAAAAATGGACCAAATAGAAGCCCCGCCCACCCACCCCTTCTCAATTGTGACGAATCCTTTATTCATCGTTAAGTGAAGGGGGGATTTTGATTGCAAAATTATCATTTCTCTACAAGAAATTGCCATATGAAATTCATTACAATCGAGATAGGGGTGGGTGGGTGGGGCTTAATCTTCGTGTTTTTTTTTTAACATATAGATTTTTTTTTGAACAACAAGATAGCTAAACACGTTTTCAGTTTCTTGTTGGGAAAAGAAGACTTCGCATATTAAGAAAAAATGGACCAAATGTAAGCCCCGCCCACCCACCCCTTCTCAATTGTGACGAATGCTTTATTCATCGTTAAGTGAAGGGGGGATTTTGATTGCAAAATTATCATTTCTCCACAAGAAATTGCCATATGAAATTCATTACAATTGAGATTGGGGTGGGTGGGCGGGGCTTAATTTTCGTGTTTTTTTTAATATATATAGAGTTTTCTTTGAACAACAGGATCCTTAAATATATTGTCAGTTTCTTGTTGGGAAAAGAAGACTTCGCATATTAAGAAAAAATGAACCAAATGTAAGCCCCGCCCACCCACCCCTTCTCAATTGTGACGAATGCTTTATTCATCGTTAAGTGAAGGGGGGATTTTGATTGCAAAATTATCATTTCTCCACAAGAAATTGCCATATGAAATTCATTACAATTGAGATTGGGGTGGGTGGGCGGGGCTTAATTTTCGTGTTTTTTTTAATATATATAGAGTTTTCTTTGAACAACAGGATCCTTAAATATATTGTCAGTTTCTTGTTGGGAAAAGAAGACTTCGCATGTTAAGCAAAAATGGACCAAATAGAAGCCCCGCCCACCCACCCCTTCTCAATTGTGACGAATGCTTTATTCATCGTTAGCTGAAGGGAGGATTTTAGTTGCAAAATTCTCATTTCTCTACAAGAAATTGCCATATGAAATTAATCACAATTGAGATTGGGGTGGGTGGGCGGGGCTTAATTTTCGTGTTTTTTTTAATATATATAGAGTTTTATTTCAACAACAGGATAGCTAAACATATTGTCAGTTTCTTATTGGGAAAAGAAGACTTCGCATATTAAGAAAAAATGGACGAAATAGGAGCCCCGCCCACCCACCCCTTCTCAATTGTGATTAATGCTTTATTCATCGTTAGCTGAAGGGAGGATTTTAGTTGCAAAATTTTCATTTCTCTACAAGAAATTTCCATATGAAATTAATCACAATTGAGACTGGGGTGGGTGGGCGGGGCTTAATTTTTGTGTTTTTTTTTTAAATATATAGAGTTTTAATTCAACAACAGGATAGCTAAACATATTGTCAGTTTCTTATTGGGTAAAGAAGACTTCGCATATTAAGAAAAAATGGACTAAATAGAAGCCCCGCCCACCCACCACTTCTCAATTGTGATTAATGCTTTATTCATCATTAGCTGAAGGGAGGATTTCAGTTGAAAAATTCTCATTTCTCTACAAGAAATTGCCATATGAAATTCATCACAATTGAGATTGGGGTGGGTGGGCGGGGCTTAATTTTCGTGTTTTTTTTAACATATAGAATTTTTTTTGAACAACAAGATGGCTAAACACGTTTTCAGTTTTTTGTTGGGAAAAGAAGACTTCGCATGTTAAGCAAAAATGGACCAAATAGAAGCCCCGCCCACCCACCCCTTCTCAATTGTGACGAATGCTTTATTCATCGTTAGCTGAAGGGAGGATTTTAGTTGCAAAATTCTCATTTCTCTACAAGAAATTGCCATATGAAATTCATCACAATTGAGATTGGAATGGGTGGGCGGGGCTTAATTTTCGTGTTTTTTTTTCAATACATAGAGCTTTCTTTGAACAACAGGATCCTTAAATATATTGTCAGTTTCTTGTTGGGAAAAGAAGACTTCGCATATTAAGAAAAAATGAACCAAATGTAAGCCCCGCCCACCCACCCATTCTCAATCGTGATGAATGATTTATTCATCGTTAGCTGAAGGGGGGATTTTAGTTGCAAAATTTTCATTTCTCTACAAGAAATTTCCATATGAAATTAATCACAATTGAGACTGGAGTGGGTGGGCGGGGCTTAATTTTTGTGTTTTTTTTAAATATATAGAGTTTTAATTCAACAACAGGATAGCTAAACATATTGTCAGTTTCTTATTGGGAAAAGAAGACTTCGCATATTAAGAAAAAATGGACCAAATAGAAGCCCCGCCCACCCACCCCTTCTCAATTGTGATTAATGCTTTATTCATCGTTAGCTGAAGGGAGGATTTTAGTTGCAAAATTCTCATTGCTCTACAAGAAATTACCATATGAAATTCATTACAATTGAGATCTGGGTGGGTGGGTGGGGCTTAATTTTCGTGTTTTTTTTTAATATATAGAGTTTTCTTTGAACAACAGAATAATTAAACATATTGTCAGTTTCTTATTGGGAAAAGAAGACTTCGCATATTAAGAAAAAATGAACCAAGTAGAAGCCCCGCCCACCCACCCCTTCTCAATTGTGATGAATGGGGGAGTTTAGTGACATTCTTCCGATGTAAAAACATGAACACTTTCCAAGTTGTTTTTCTCATCGAGGATAAGCTAAAGACGTACAGTAATGTATTCCATCGGGCAATTTGGTACTTTCATATTTTCTCGATATTTCATAACTCCTAGACAAGGCCGTAGTTAGGGGGAGGCTAGAGGATGCTGAGCCTTCCCTAGTTCTAGACAAGTTATAATTAACCAAATGTGATTATATATTATATGTATTATTAGTATTAAAATGCATCCATCGAAACTGATGATTGCGTCCTTTAATATTAATCGTTAAAATCACGTTTATTAAACCAAAATGAACAAAGAATCCGCTCTTTCTACTAATAATAGTAATCGTAGGGTCCGGGCCTAGACTCTCCTCACACACCTTTGTAGTTTTTGTGGTAGACCCTGCAGGATTCTACTGCCGTTTTAAGGACACAATCGAGGACCTTTCCGCCCTGCACGCGCTCACTGTGACGCCCGACCCGGCTCGACTCCCCTTCAAGGACACCGTCAAGGACCGTCTCGCCAGCGGCACCCTAATCCACCTGGTAGTTCCTGCCGATCTGCGCAGATCCCTCGAATTAGATTTGCCTAAATTAGAAGCGAAAAAGGCGAAATTAATCAAGGAGATGGAGAAGATGAACCGGATGGTGTCCGGGGATAACTACAAGGTCAAAGCCACGGCGGAGGCGCAGCGCACGCACTCCAAGAAGGTGGTGGGCGGGCCCGAACCGGGGGTTGTTTATTGTTTTTTTAATTTGCAGATTGCCACCCTCGAGGAGAAGCTGGCGCGGATAAATTATATCCAGAGCATTTCCAACCAGTAATTGTTGCAGTTGTAACTTAATTCTCCAGTAATAAATTACTTTAATTTGCGGAATTGTGTTTCTTTCGGGGTGGAGGGGGCAGCAATAACGACACTTGTTTGCGTGAAAGCGTGATTGTTTTCAGTTTTTACGTTATCTAAATCCCACTCCAAACCACTCAAAGCCCGAATCAAACAGATTAAATCTTCGCATTATCTAAATGCATCTCTCCATAAACAAGATTGATTGTGTCCCACTCGTCACGTCGTATTTTTTATCGACAAGCATCCGGTTTAAATAAGACAGTGTTGTACACTTTGCGAATTCCGGGGCGATTTTTCCGGATCGTCGTCACAGCAAAGACAAAGTGTCGCTGCTGGATGCATACGTCTCCGGTTCTGGGGCTTAATCCGCAGAGGAGCGCTAAACTTCAAATCGATTTACTGTGGAAATTGAAAGGTTTAAATTTTATTACGGGCGTTTTATCACTGAAAGCGATGCCGAAAGTGGCGCAGATTTGATCTGGAAGAGAAAGGAACACGCGGAGCTGAGTTACGTCAGGGATTTGGATAGATAAGTGTGTGACCTAAATTGCCAAGTGCCAGATTAGATTATCTGAGATTGCTGGAACAATTGCAGTTTGTTGTTTTGGAAAACCCGATCGAGTCAAGTGTACTGATTTACAATAGGTGGATTGAGCAACCGGTACTTGGATTTTGGCGGCGATAGTGGTGGAGAGTGCCGGTGAATGACGGCTGTTATCTTGTTTTTGCGGGCTTGAAGGAGCCTTGGATGAGTGGGTGGAGACCTTGGCCACTGCGAAAAACACTGGAGTGCAGGCAAATTAGAGCGAAAATAAAACTCTACAACGTCTATTTTTAACTTTTTATACACTTCCTTCGTCATTTTTCCGTTTTCAACTTAACTTTACAAAAAAAAAAGATAGTAGTTAAGTAGTGGAGCTTCTGGCTCACTCTGACCTCATTAGACCTGAGCCAGAACCGGCACTACATTTTATTAAGCCTTGGGAGTTCGGTTTGACGTCAGTTGTATTGACAAAAAGTAATGAGGATTCTACCAAGGTCAAATCAAGTCAAAACCTCAATACATACACTATTTTTAGTTTCCGACGATTCATGACCCCTAGAGTACGAAAAAGTAGGTCCCGTTTATCAATTTTTCGATTTTTCAAATTTCCAATTTTCGAGATTCCTAGGTTTTCTCAATTAATCGACTTTTTCATTTTCCCATTTCTCGATTTTTCGACTTTTCAATGTTTTGGTTCTTCCAGTTTTTCAATTCTTCCGTTTTTCGATTTTTCAATTTTCCAATTTTTTAAATGTTCGATTGTTCGACTTCGATTTCTCAATTTTTCAATACCTATTTCAATTTCTTAATTTTCCGATGTTTCAGTTTTGGAATTTTTCAATTTTTCTTCAGTTATTCGATTCTTAATATTTTTATTTCTCAATTTCTCGATTCTTCAAATTTTCGGTTTTTCAAATTTTCAATTTTTGAGGTTCCTAGATATTCTCAATTTCGCAATTAATCGATTTTTTTATTTTCCCATTTCTCGATTTCACGACTTTTCAATGTTTTGGTTCTTCCAGTTTTTCAATTCTTCCGTTTTTCGATTTTTCAGTTTTTTTTTTCGACTTTGATTTCTCAATTTTTCAATACATACTTCAATTTCTTACTTTTCCGATGTTTCAATTTTGGAATTTTTCAATTTTTCTTCAATTATTCGATTCTTATTTTTTTTATTTCTCAATTTCTCGACTTTTACTATTTCGATTTTAAATATTTTGGATTTTTCAATTTTTTGATATTTCAATTTTATAATTTTTAAAGTTTTATATTCTTCCATTTCTATATTTTTCTATTTTTAGATTTTAATTTTGGAATTTTCAAACTTGAGATTTTTCAGTTTCTAAAATTTCGCTTCTTGATTTTCCAATTTTGCGAGTTCTCGATTTTAGATTTTTGGTTTTTCAATTTTTCAATTTTTAAAATGTTTTCATTTTTTCGATTTTTCAATTTTTCAGTTTCACGATTTACAGTTTTGCTCTTCTCAATTTTTCGATTCTTCAAATTTTCGCTTTCTCGATTTCTTAATTTTCTGATGTGTTCAGTTTTTTGATGTTTTAATTTTTCAATTTTTGACGTTTCTAAATTTTTAATTTTTCGGTTTCTCAATTTCTCGATTAATCGATTTTTTCACTTTCCCATTTCTCGATTTCCCGACTTGTCAATGTTTTGGTTTTTCTAATTTTTGGGGTCTTTAATTTTTCGATTTCTCAGTTTTTTGCTTTTTCAGGTTTTGATTTTTTATTTTTTGATTTTTTAAATTTTCGAGTTTCCGATTTCGATTTTTCGACTTTTCGTTTCCTCGATTTTGAAGTTTTCGATTTCTCAATTTTTCGATGATTCAGTTTTGGAATTATTCATGAATTTTTTATAATTTCTCAATTTTTTAATTTTTCGAATTATCGATTTTTGATTTCTCGATTTTTACTTTATAGATTTTTCAATTACTCGATTTTTAAATTTTAGATTTTTCAATTTTTTGATATATTAATATTTCGATTTTTCAAATTTCAATTATTGAGGTTCCTAGATTTTCTCAATTTCTCAATTAATCGATTTTTTTCATTTTCCCATTTCTCTATTTCCTTGCAATGTTTTGGTTTTTCCAGTTTCTCAATTCTTCCGTTTTTCGATGTTTCAGTTTTTCAATTTTTCAAATGTTCGATTGTTCGACTTCGATTTTTCAATTTTTCAATACATATTTCAATTTCTTATTTTCTGACGTTTCAGTTTTGGAATTTTTCAATTTTTCTTCAATTATTCGATTCTTAATTTTTTTATTTCTCAATTTCGCGATTTTTACTATTGCGATTTTAAAAATTTTGGGTTTTTCAATTTTTTAATTTTTAAAGTTTTATATTTTTCGATTTCTATATTTTTCTATTTTTAGATTTTAATTTTGGAATTTTCAAACTTGAGATTTTTCAGTTTTTTGATATTTCGCTTCTTGAGTTTGCGAGTCCTCGATTTTAGATTTTTACTTTTTCAATTTTTCAATTTTTCAAATTTTTGATTTTTTAATTTTTAAGTTTCTCGATTTACAGTTTTGCTCTTCTCAATTTTTCGATTCTTCAAATTTTCAATTTTTGAGGCTCCTAGATTTTCTCAATTTCTCAGTCAATCGATTTTTTCATTTTCCCATTTGTCGATTTCCCGACTTTTCAATGTTTTGGTTCTTGCACTTTTTCAATTCTTCGGTTTTTCGATTTTTCAGTTTTTCAATTTTTTAAATATTCGATTGTTCGACTTCGATTTCTCAATAATTGTCCAATACATATTTCAATTTCATAATTTTCCGATGTTTCAGTTTTGGAATTTTTCAATTTTTCTTCAATTATTCGATTCTTAATTTTTTATTTCTCAATTTCTCGATTTTGACTATTTCGATTTTAAAAATTTTGGATTTTTCAATTTAAGGATAATAATAATAATAATAATAATAATAGGACTTTATTAAATAATAATAGGCGAAGTCTAGCCATAGGCTATTCCACTTAACCTTAGATTTACAACAAAATAAAACTAACCAAACAGTTTGTACAGAAAAACGGATTAAATATCTAGACAGGAGTTAGCTAGGTAATGATCAAATTAAACAATTTAAACTAATTAAAACTAAATTAAATTAAATTAAATTTAATAATAATCCATAATTAGAAACTAAATTTATACAAATAATAATAATAATAACAAAAAGTTAACAACAAGCAAGAGAACCACAATAATAAACTTAAACCTAAGTATTAATCAAGCATTTTTTAATTTTTTTCCTAAAACAATTGATGGAGGATATTTAAATTTTTTAATTTCTAACGTTTTATCTTTTTCGATTTCTATATTTTTCTATCTAATTTTTCAATTTTTCAAATTTTCGATTTTTCAATTTTTCAGTTTTTCGATTTACAAATTTGCTGTTCTCATTTTTTCGATTCTTCAAATTTTCGCTTACTCGATTTTTTGATTTCTCGATTTCTCAATTTTGTGATGTGTTCAGTTTTTTGATTGTTTAATTTTTCAATTTTTGACGTTATTAAATTATCAATTTCTCGATTAATCGATTTTTTGACTTTCCCATTTTTCGATTTCCCGACTTGTCAATGTTTTGGTTTTTCTAATTTTTCGGGTCTTCAATTTTTCGTTTTTTTAATTTTTTTGTTTTTTTATTTTTTGATTTTTTAAATTTTCGAGTTTCTGACTTCGGTTTTTCGACTTTTTTCGATTTTGAAGTTTTCGATTTCTCAATTTTTCGATGTTTTAGTTTTGGAATTCTTCATCAATTTTTTATAATTTCCCAATTTTTCCATTTTTCGAATTTTCGATTTTCGATTTCTCAATTTTTACTTTTTAGATTTCTTAATTCTTCGATTTTTAAATTTTTTGATATATTAATTTTTCGATTTTTAGATTTCCCGAGTAATCGATTTTTTTATTTTCCCATTTCTTGATTTTCCGAGTCGTCAGTGTTTTGGTTTCTCCAATTTTTCGGGTCTTCAATTTTTTGATTTCTCAGTTTTTGTTTTTTTAGGTTTTTGATTTTTGATTTTTAAATTTTTTTAATTTTCGGTTTTTCCACTTTGATTTTGAAGTTTTCGATTTGTCAATTTTTCTATGTTTCAGTTTTGGAGTTTTTTTATTTTTCGGTTTTTCAAATATTCAATTTTTGGCGTATCTAATTTTTCAATTAATCGATTTTTCGACTTTTCATGATTTCGATTTTTCAGTTTTTCAATCCTTGAATTTTGCAATTTTTCGTTTTTTCAGATTTTTGACTTTTTCAATTTTTCAATGTTTCGACTTTTAACTTTTAAATTTTTCAATTTTTAGATTTTCGATTTTTCTATTTCCTAGTTTTTCGGTTTTAGAGTTTTCGATTTTTTACTATTTTAATTCTTAAAATTTTTCTTTTCCCGGTTTGTCGCTTCCTTGATTTTTCGATTTTCAGTTCTTCGAATTTAAAAATTTTTAAATTTTGAGTTTTTTCATTTTTCAATTTTTCGATTTTACGATTTTTACTTCCCGAGCGTAAGCAAAGGAAGTATTGTAATCGAGTCCGTCGGCCGACTCTCTACTTTTAAGATTTCTCGATCTTTCATGACCCCTAGAAGACGAAGAAATAGGTCTCCCATTTCCGTCTGTCTGTCCGTCTGTCCGTCTGTCTGCCGTCCCGGATTTTTTTTAGACAGATAATCTCCGAAAGTACTGGACCGATTGTTGGAAAATTTTGTACTTATCTTAGGAATATCATGTTGGGAAAACGCTAACCAAAATTTGTCTAATCATCCCCACCACTAATGCGATGACGTCACTTCAAAATTGTACATAGTAAATGGGTCTTAAATTGTATAAAATAACATAGTCCTACACATGTAGTTTACGACTCCGAATTCAGTTTTTACCCGAAACGTCCAGATTTTTGAAAAAAAAATCAAAATTATAAAACAAAATTTTGCAATTTAATTTTGAATCTGCTAACCCGAATGTTTTGAAATGTTGCAGATGTTTTAAGGCTATAAAGAGCATCATAAATCTTTAGTCAAAATATATTTGGTTATCAACTTGATGACGTCAGCTCAAAAGTTTACCGAATAAATCCTATCTAAAATGTACAAAATATGATGCGTCTGTACTTGTGATATATCACTCCATTCATATTTTTTGGATTTGCATATACAGGGTGACTCAAAAAAATTAATGAATGCGCAAAATTTATTTTACTGATTTACTCAGGAACTACAAAACCGAATGCTTTGGAATCTTGAAGATGTTTTAAAATTATCATAAGCATGGTAAATTTTTGATCAAAATGTATTTGGTCGTCCCTCCTAAAAAATTTATGACGTCACCACAAAATTTTGCTGAATAAATCCTATCTAAAATGCAAAAAATATGATGAGTTTGTACTTGTGATTTATCATTCCATTCATATTTTTTAGATTTTCTTAAGAGGTGGCTCAAAAAAATTAATGAAGTCAATTTATTTTATTGATTAAATTAAAGGCAACACTTATTATTAGTATTACATTGTTCCAACCCAATTTGGTAGACACAAAATTTTTTAAAGTAAAAACTCGGTTGAAACATGAGGGTAGCACGCTTATTTACATCGACTTTAACATTACAGACGTGCATTTGTTTTGTGCGCTGTCTAGGTTCCGCGAATGTGGAATAGACATGTTTATAATCAACCAACTGTGAATTCCACCGTCAAAAATTAAAATAAAACCCAATGTTTTATATAATAAGCGGAAGTCGAAGCAATAAAACCGATGGTCGTTTTGTTTACAGTTTCTCTGTTTGACTCTCACGTATGCTGTTACGCTTGTCATCTTAAATTAAGAATGCTTATACATAAACGATTTTCAGTTCCCTCTCACCGGCGCCGTATACGTGAGTAAATTGTTTCGTTATTTTATTGATTATAACAAATCAATATTCAAAAGGACCCAATTCATTTTCCCGAAAATTTGGGAATACAATAATTTTATTCTTAGTATTACACTACATCTATCCCAACTGATATACGTGTCCTTGCAAAAATGTTGATGAAGTCATCGCAATTTTTTTTTAAATTCCCACTACAAAAATGTAATGAGAAAAAATCCAATAGGCATGCAGTCGTCAAGTTTCCGACAGCGAGGGAAGTACTGTCTAAACTTTTTAGACCAATTTTTTGAAGTTTGGATTTGTTCACATATCGGTTTTTCGATTTTAAAAATTTCTCCACTTTTCTATTTTTAGATTTTCTAGGTTTTTCAAGTTTTCAATTTCTCAATTTTTCAACATTTCAGTTTTGGGAATTTGTTGGACTGGCCTTACGGCGAGGGAAATTTTGCAGAAATTACCTATTAATTTTTGTATTTCGTTAGCCTGTAATTGCCTGTCGTGTTTGAATAAATATGTAAATATACTATTATTATTATTATTATTATTATTATTTTACCTTCCAGACTGTGGGACACCCTGTATAACATCAACGTTAAACATTATTTCAAAAACAACTTTGACTGAATTTAAGGAAACAATGCAAATTTTTCCCCATCTACCTATCAGATTTATTGCGACATTCATAAATCATAAGTATGTGGACATTGAACTCATCGCGGAAAATCTTCGAAATCTAAGAGTTGTCAGTCAATCTCAGATAACATTCTAAAACTAAAAATCCAAAAAAAAATAAAAAAACGCGATAAGTCAATTCAAAGTATATAAGTCGAAAATGCAAAACAAAACAAACAAAAGAGTGATCCAAAATGAAAGGTAAGCAACTCTTCCTCAATTTCTTTCTTTTTTTTTAATAAAAACTGAAATTTGTTTTCAGCCCTCATCCTAGCCACGCTTTGTTGCCTTTTTGCCCCCTCATTCTCCAGGGGTAAGACAAGCACGTCGTCAGTCCTCGTCTCTTGAATTCTGTTTCATTTGTAGACCCCCTCTGCCTGGGCGTCCCAGTCGGGGAAATCGTCCTCTTCCCGTACCCCGGCGACTGCAGCCGGTACTACGAATGCGACGCTAACGGTTTCCAGTCAATCCACAGCTGCGAAAGCGGTCTATGGTTCAACGAAGCCCTTCAGGGCTGCGACCACCCATCAACGTCCGGCTGCACTAGTAAGTACCTCGGTACCACTCCCGACTGACTGACAGCACGTTGAACCCCAGACATAGCTTGCCCGCCCGGAATCGTCGATTTCTTCCCCGTCGCCGGCGACTGCAGCGAGTACATAGAGTGCTACAATGGGATTCTAGAGACCCATAGTTGCCCAGCGGGTCTGTGGTTCAACGCCTTCCAGAAACGGTGCGTGAGTGCCCAGGACTCCGACTGTGGTCAGTACACCTCGGAAGGACCCACGCAATGGACCATCCCTCCGGATGAGTGCTACGGTGTTCTCCCTGGAAGAATAATGCTCTATCCCTACCCCGGCGACTGTAACAAGTTCATCGAGTGCGTGGGTGCCCAGATGACGATCTTGTCTTGTCCTCCGTACCTCTACTTCAATTACGCGAGGCAAATGTGCGACCAACAGGACTTGTCGGGTTGCGATGGTAACTAGAAATTTCTGTTGTGACCTACGTATTTATTCCATTGGTTGTTTGTAGACACCACTGGTACTCCCCCGATTTACACGGTCACTCCTCCCCCGGATGACGGCTTCGACGACCCGAGGTGTGCCGATGGTAACAACGACTACTGGCCGAATGTGGAGTGCACAACGTACATTGAGTGCTATGCAGGGCATGGGCACGTAATGCATTGTCCCAGTGGGTTGTACTTTGATGAAGACACAAGCAAATGCGTGGATCCGAGCGAAACTACTTGTGGTAGGTCTGGATGATGCGGTGGTAGGGTTTTCAATGGGTGTTTCAGGACGCCCGGATCCGACAGACCCGCCGACGCAGCCGACCAATCCGGACTGGACCCCAGACCCGGACTGCCCATGGCCTAGTTCCGACAGGTACCTGTTCGTTTATCCAGGAGACTGCACCAAGTATTTGGAGTGCGTATATGGAGAAAAAGTGGTGATGGATTGTCCTGATGGCCTATGGTTTAACCCCACTTTGTTGGTCTGCGATTATCCGTACCACTCTGGGTGCGCCTGGGGTTCCTAGTGTTATTGTTACTGTTATTGTCTTATTGTATGAAAATATACAAGATTATGATAAAGTAATGAATTAAGTTCATAAAAAGCGCAAGCCTTTCATTTTACTCTCCGTATTTTGACATATAATTTGTAAAAGTAAAACTTGACTGGACTCGACTCGTTGACTGAGACTCATTCGATCCCGAAGGTGGCCTCTATTTAAACTCATACATTATTCTGGATGGTTCGCGACCGCCGCTCCAGGTTTGTTTTTATGCGAACGCCGCCCGGCCGCCGTCACCGATGATGATTCATCCATATTTCCTATTTTTCCGTACTTGCACGAAATGCGTCCTCTCGGAATTTGTCCCCTGGTGATTTGTTGGATTGGATCAAAGGGCGAGGGAAGTTCTGCAGAAATAACCTTCTACCAATTTTTGTATTTCGTTGCCATTTAACTGTTAGACTTATTGCGAAATTCACAAGTATGTGCACTCATCGCCGAAAATCTTCCAAATCTAAGAGTTGTCAGTCAATCTCAGATAACATTCTAAAACTAAAAATCCAAAAAAAATAAAAAAACGCGATAAGTCAATTCGAAGTATATAACTCGAAAATGCAAAAGAAAGCAAACAAAAGAGTGACGCAAAATGAAAGGTAAGTAACTCTCCCCTAATTTCTTTTTTTGACTTTTCGATTCTTCAATTTTCCGATTTTTCAATTTTTCGCTTACTTTATTTTTCCATATTTCAATTTTCGAAAATTTTTAAAATGTGAATTTTTCAGTTTTTTGAAACTGAACTTCTCGATTTTTCGATTTTGCAAATTCTCGGTTTTAGATTTTTGGTTTTTCAATTTTTCGATTTTATAAATTTTTGATTTTTCGATTCTTCAATTTTCAATTTTTCGCTTACTTAATTTTTCCATGTTTCGATTTTTCGATTTTTCAATTTCTCGATTCCTCAAACGTTCGATTTTTCGATGTTTTCATTTTTCGATTTATCAATTTTATGTTCACTTGTAGGATTTTTCAATTTTTCGACTTTTCAATTTTTGATTTTTATTTTTCTTTGGATTTTTAAGTTTTTCAGTTCTGCAATTATGCAGTTTTTTGATTTTTAAATTTTTCGATTTTTTAAATTTTAGATCTTTCGATTTCTATTTTTCGAATTTTCAATTTCTCAATTTTGCGACTTTTGGATTTTCGATTTCTCGATTTTTTTCTTTTTCCATTTTTCAATTTTTCGATTTTTAAATTTGTCAGTGTTTTGATATTTTAATTTTTCAGTTTTAAAAATTTTTGACTTTTCGATTCTTCAATTTTCCGATTTTTCAATATTTCGCTTACTTTATTTTTCCATATTTCAATTTTCGATTTTTCGATTTCTGGATTTCTGTACTTTTAGATTTTTCATTTCTTCGATATTTCTGTTATTCAATTTTTGAAAATTTTTAAAATGTGAATTTTTCAGTTTTTTGATGTCTGAACTTGTCGATTTTTCGATTTTGCAACTTCTCGGTTTTAGACTTTTGGTTTTTCAATTTTTCGATTTTTAAAATTTTTGATTTTTCGATTCTTCAATTTTCAATTTTTCGCTTACTTAATTTTTCCATATTTCGATTTTTCGATTTTTCAATTTCTCGATTCCTCAATCGTTCGATTTCTCGATGTTTTCATTTTTCGATTTATCAATTTTCCGATGTGTTCACTTTTAGGATTTTTCAATTTTTCGACTTTTCAATTTTCGATTTTTATTTTTCTTTGGACTTTTAAGTTTTTCAGTGCTGCAATTTTGCAGTTTTTCGATTTTTCAATTTTTAGATCTTTCGATTTCTATTTTTCGAATTTTCAATTTCTCAATTTTGCGACTTTTGGATTTTCGATTTCTCGATTTTTTTCTTTTTCCATTTTTCAATTTTTCGATTTTTAAATTTGTCATTGCTTTGATATTTTAAATTATCAGTTTTAAAAATTTTCGATTTTTCGTTTTCTCGATTTCTGTACTTTTAAATTTTTTCATTTGCGACTTCTCGGTTTTAGATTTATGGTTTTTAACTTTTCGATTTTGAAAATTTTTTATTTCTCGATTCTGCAATTTTCCGATTTTTCAGTTTCTCGGTTTTCAATTTTTCGCTTACTTAATTTTTCGATATTTCAGTGTTGGAATTTTTTCAATTTTCTGATGTGTTCAGTTTTAGGATTTTTCAGTTGTTTCGATTTTAAAATTTTTCAATTTCTGAGGTTCCTAAATTTTCAATTTTTCGATTTCTCAATGTCTCATTTAATCGATTTTTTGATTTTCCATTTCTCGATTTTTCGACTTTTCGTGGTTTCGATTTTTCAGTTTTTCAATGTTTTGATATTTTATTTTAGCAATTTTTAAAGTTCTAGATTTTTCGATTCGTCGATTTCTGAATTTTTCGATTTTTCAAAATTCTTCCACATTTCTATATATTTTTCAATTTTAAGAATTTTTATTTTTCAGTTTTTTGGTATTTCGACTTCTCGATTTTTCGACTTCTCGGTTTTGGATTTTTGGCTTTTCAATTTCTCGATTTTTAAAATATTTGATTTGACAATTTTTCAATTTTTAGAATTTAGCTTGTTTCGATATTTCAGTTTTGAAATCTCCGATGTTTGGATTATTCAATTTTTTTGAATTTTTCAATTCTTAGATTTTCGATTTCTTTATCTCTTGGTTTTTCGGTTTTAGACATTTTCAATTTTCTAATTTTTAAATTTTTCATGTTTTTGGATTTTTTGATGTCACTATTTCGAGATTTTTCAATTTTTTGACATTCATTATTTTAATTTTTTAAATTATAAATTTTTCGTTTCCTCGATTTCTGGCTTACTTGATTTTTCGATTTTTCAGTTCCTCGAAATTAAAAATGTTTGAATTTTGAGTTTTTTCATTTTTCAGTTTTTCTATTCTTGAATTTATCGATTACTCAAATTTTCAGTTTCTTGATTTTTGCATTTTTTTAGGATTTCTCAATTTTTTCGATTTTCCAGTTTTTTAATTTCGGGCGTTTCTAAATTTTCAATTTTTTGAGTAATCGATTTTTTGATTTTCCCATTAAGATTTACCGACTTGTTAATATATTGGTTTTTCCAATTATTCGGGTCTTCAATTTTTCGATTTCTCAGTTTTTGTTTTTTCAGGTTTTTGATTTTTTATTTTTCAATTTTTTAAATTTTCGATTTTTCCACTTCGATTTGTCAATTCTTCGATGTTTCAGTTTTGGAGTTTTTCAATTTTTCGGTTTTCCAAATATTCAATTTTTGGCGTATCTAATTTTTCGATTAATCGATTTTTCGATTTTTCCATTTGCCGATTTTTCGACTTTTCATGGTTTCAATTTTTCAGTTTTTCAATTCTTCAATTTTGCAATTTTTCGCTTACTTAATTTTTCCATATTTCGATTTTTCGATTTTTCAATTTCTCGATTCCTCAAACGTTCGATTTCTCGATGTTTTCATTTTTCGATTTATCAATTTTTCGATGTGTTCGCTTTTAGGATTTTTCAATTTTTCTACTTTTCAATTTTCGATTTTTATTTTTATTTGGATTTTTAAGTTTTTCAGTTCTGCAATTTTGCAGTTTTTCGATTTTTCAATTATTCGATTTTTTAAATTTTAGATCTTTCGATATCTATTTTTAGAATTTTTAATTTCTCAATTTTGCGACTTTTGGATTTTCGATTTCTCGATTTTTTTCTTTTTTCATTTTTCAATTTTTCGATTTTTAAATTTGTCAGTGTTTTGATATTTTAATTTTTCAGTTTTAAAATTGTTCGATTTTTCGTTTTCTCGATTTCTGTACTTTTAAAATTTTCATTTGCGACTTCTCGGTTTTAGATTTTTGGTTTTTAACTTTTCGATTTTGAAAATTTTTTATTTCTCGATGCTGCAATTTTCCGATTTTTCAATTTCTCGGTTTTCAATTTTTCGCTTACTTAATTGTTCGATATTTCAGTGTTGGAATTTTTTCAATTTTCTGATGTGTTCAGTTTTAGGACTTTTCAGTTCTTTCGATTTTTCAATTTTTCAATTTCTGAGGTTCCTAAATTTTCAATTTTTCGATTTCTCAATGTCTCATTTAATCGATTTTTTGATTTTCCATTTTTCGATTTTTCGACTTTTCGTGGTTTCTCAGTCTTTCAGTGCTTTGATATTTTATTTTAGCAATTTTTAAAATTCTAGATTTTTCGATTTGTCGATTTCTGAATTTTTCGATTTTTCAAAATTCTTCCACATTTCTATATATTTTTCAATTTTAAGAATTTTTATTTTTCAGTTTTTTTGGTATTTCGACTTCTCGATTTTTCGACTTCTCGGTTTTGGATTTTTGGCTTTTCAATTTTTCGATTTTTAAAATATTTGATTTGACAATTTTTCAATTTTTACAATTTAGCTTGTTTGGATTTCTCGATATTTCAGTTTTGAAATCTCCGATGTTTGGATTATTTAATTTTTGATTTTTTCAATTCTTAGATTTTCGATTTCTTTATGTCTTGGTTTTTCGGTTTTAGACTTTTCAATTTTTTAATTTTTTAATTTTTCATGTTTTTGGATTTTTTGATGTCTCTATTTGGAGATTTTTCAATTTTTCGACATCCATTAGTTTAATTTATTAAATTATAAATTTTTCGTTTCCTCGATTTCTCGCTTACTTGATTTTTCGATTTTTCAGTTCTTCGAATTTAAAAATGTTTGAATTTTGAGTTTTTTCATTTTTCAGTTTTTCTATTCTTGAATTTATCGATTACTCAAATTTTCAATTCCTTGATTTTTGCATTTTTTTAGGATTTCTCAATTTTTTCGATTTTCCAATTTTTCAATTTCGGGCGTTTCTAAATTTTCAATTTTTTGATTTCTCAATTTTTCGAGTAATCGATTTTTTGATTTTCCCATTAAGATTTACCGACTTATGAATGTTTTGGTTTTTCCAATTTTTGGGGTCTTCAATTTTTCGATTTCTCAGTTTTGGTTTTTTCAGGTTTTTAATTTTTTTTTTCAATTTTTTAAATTTTCGATTTTTCCACTTCGATTTGTCAATTCTTCGATGTTTCAGTTTTGGAGTTTTTAAATATTTCGGTTTTCCAAATATTCAATTTTAGGCATATCTAATTTTTCGATTAATCGATTTTTCCATTTGCCGATTTTTCGACTTTTCATGATTTAAATTTTTCAGTTTTTCAATTCTTCAATTTTGCAATTTTTCGCTTACTTAATTTTTCCATATTTCGATTTTTTGATTTTTCAATTTTTCGATTCCTCAAACGTTCGATTTCTCGATGTTTTCATTTTTCGATTTATCAATTTTCCGATGTGTTCACTTTTAGGATTTTTCAATTTTTCGACTTTTCAATTTTCGATTTTTATTTTTCTTTGGACTTTTCAGTTTTTCAGTGCTGCAATTTTGCAGTTTTTCGATTTTTCAATTTTTAGATCTTTCGATTTATATTTTTCGAATTTTCAATTTCTCAATGTTGCGACTTTTGGATTTTCGATTTCTCGATTTTTTTCTTTTTCCATTTTTCAATTTTTCGATTTTTAAATTTGTCAGTGTTTTGATATTTTAATTTTTCAGTTTTAAAAATTTTCGATTTTTCGTTTTCTCGATTTCTGTACTTTTAAATTTTTCATTTGCGACTTTTCGGTTTTAGATTTATGGTTATTAGCTTTTCGATTTTGAAAATTTTTTATTTATCGATTCTGCAATTTTCCGATTTTTCAATTTCTCGATTTGCAGTTCTTCGCTTACTTAATTTTTCGATATTTCAGTGTTGGAATTTTTTCAATTTTCTGATGTGTTCAGTTTTAGGATTTTTCAGTTCTTTCGATTTTTGAATTTTTCAATTTCTGAGGTTCCTAAATTTTCAATTTTTCGATTTCTCAACGTCTTATTTAATCGATTTTTTGATTTTCCATTTCTCGATTTTTCGTCTTTTCGTGGTTTCGATTTTTCAGTTTTTCAATGTTTTGATATTTTATTTTTTTAATTTTTAAAATTCTAGATTTTTCGATTAATCGATTTTTCGATTTTTCCATTTGCCTATTTTTCGACTTTTCATGATTTCGATTTTTCAGTTTTTCAATTCTTCAATTTTGCAATTTTTCGCTTACTTAATTTTTCCATATTTCGATTTTTCCATTTTTCAATTTCTCGATTCCTCAATCGTTCGATTTCTCGATGTTTTCATTTTTCGATTTATCAATTTTCCGATGTGTTCACTTTTAGGATTTTTCAATTTTTCGACTTTTCAATTTTCGATTTTTATTTTTCTTTGGATTTTTAAGTTTTTCAGTTCTGCAATTTTGCAGTTTTTCGATTTTTCAATTTTTCGATTTTTTAAATTTTAGATCTTTCGATTTCTATTTTTCGAATTTTCAATTTCTCAATTTTGCGACTTTTGGATTTTCGATTTCTCGATTTTTTTCTTTTTTCATTTTTCAATTTTTCGATTTTTAAATTTGTCAGTGTTTCGATATTTTAATTTTCCAGTTTTAAAAATTTTTGACTTTTCGATTCTTCAATTTTCCGATTTTTCAATATTTCGCTTACTTTATTTTTCCATATTTCAATTTTCGATTTTTCGATTTCTGGATTTCTGTACTTTTAGATTTTTCATTTCTGCGATATTTCTGTTATTCAATTTTCGAAAATTTTTAAAATGTGAATTTTTCAGTTTTTTGATGTCTGAATTTGTCGATTTTTCGATTTTGCAACTTCTCGGTTTTAGACTTTTGGTTTTTCAATTTTTCGATTTTTAAAATTTTTGATTTTTCGATTCTTCAATTTTCAATTTTTCGCTTACTTAATTTTTCCATATTTCGATTTTTCGATTTTTCAATTTCTCGATTCCTCAAACGTTCGATTTCTCGATGTTTTCATTTTTCGATTTATCAATTTTCCGATGTGTTCACATTTAGGATTTTTCAATTTTTCGACTTTTCAATTTTCGATTTTTATTTTTCTTTGGATTTTTAAGTTTTTCAGTGCTGCAATTTTGCAGTTTTTGGATTTTTCAATTTTTAGATCTTTCGATTTCTATTTTTAAAATATTTGATTTGACAATTTTTCAATTTTTAGAATTTAGCTTGTTTGGATTTCTCGATATTTCAGTTTTGAAATATCCGATGTTTGGATTATTCAATTTTTTTGAATTTTTCAATTCTTAGATTTTCCATTTCTTTATCTCTTGGTTTTTCGGTTTACACTTTTCAATTTTTCAATTTTTTAATTTTTAAATTTTTCATGTTTTTGGATTTTTTGATGTATCTATTTGGAGATTTTTCAATTTTTTGACATTCATTATTTTAATTTATTAAATTATAAATTTTTCGTTTCCTCGATTTCTCGCTTATTTGATTTTTCGATTTTTCAGTTCTTAGAATTTAAAAATGTTTGAATTTTGAGTTTTTTCATTTTTCAATTTTTCTATTCTTGAATTTATCGATTACTCAAATTTTCAGTTTCTTAATTTTTGCATTTTTTTAGGATTTCTCAATTTTTTCGATTTTCCAATTTTTCAATTTCGGGCGTTTCTAAATTTTCAATTTTTTGAGTAATCGATTGTTTGATTTTCCCATTAAGATTTACCGACTTGTCAATGTTTTGGTTTTTCCAATTTTTCGAGTCTTCAATTTCTCGATTTCTCAGTTTTTGTTTTTTCAGGTTTTTGATTTTGTATCTTTCAATTTTTTTAATTTTAGATTTTTCCACTTCCATTTGTCAATTCTTCGATGTTTCAGTTTTGGAGTTTTTCAATATTTCGGTTTACCAAATATTCAATTTTTGGCGTATCTAATTTTTCGATTTTTCCATTTCCCGATTTTTCGACTTTTCCTGAGTTCGATTTTTCAGTTTTTCAATTCTTCAATTTTGCAATTTTTCAATTTTGCGTTTTTTCAGATTTTTGACATTTTCAATTTTTCAATGTTTCGACTTTTAACTTTTAAATTTTTCAATTTTTCGATTATACGATTTTTTGACGTTTGGATTTCTTCACATGTCGGTTTTCGATTTTAAAAATTTCTCGACTTTTCCATTTTTAGATTTTCTTGGTTTTTCAAGTTTTCAATTCTCAATTTTTCGACGTTTCAGTTTTAGAAATTTGTTGCATTGGCCTTAAGGCGAGGGAAATTCTGCAGAAATAACCTTCTACCAATTTTTGTATTTCATTAGCCTGTAATTGCCTGTCGTGTTTGAATAAATATGTAAATATACTATTATTATTATTATTATTATTATTTTACCTTCCAGACTGCGGGACACTCAAAAACTATAAATATCAACATTTCAAAAACAACTTTGACTGAATTTAAGGAACAATGCTAATTTTTCCCTATTTACCTGTCAGATTTATTGCGACATTCATAAGTATGTGGACAATGCACTCACTCATCGCCAAAAATCTTCCAAATCTAAGAGTTGTCAGTCAATCTCAGATAACATTCTAACTAAAAATCCAAAAAAAAATAAAAAACGCGATAAATCAATTCGAAGTATATAACTCGAAAATACAAAAGAAAGCAAACAAAAGAGTGACTCAAAATGAAAGGTAAGCAACTCTCCCCTTTTTCTTTTTTTTTTTTTTAATTAATAGCAGTTTTAGCTTTCATCCTGACGACACTTTGTTGCCTTTTTGTTCCCTCATTCTCCGCAGGTAAGACAAGCACGTCGTCAGTCCTGATTTCTTGAATTTCGGTTCATTTGTAGACTCTCTGTGTCTGGGCGTTCCAGCCGGAGAAGTCGCCGTCTTTCCGTACCCCGGCGACTGCAGCCGGTACTACCAATGCGACGCTAACGGTTTCTTGTCAATCCAAAACTGCCCAAGCGGTCTATGGTTTAACAAAGTCCTTCAGGCCTGCGACAACCCAGCAACGTCCGGTTGTACCAGTAAGTACCTTGGTACCACTCCAAATTAGCTGACAGCACGTTGAACCCCATAGACATAGCTTGCCCTCCCGGAGTCGTCGATTTCTTTCCCGTCCCCGGCGACTGCAGCGAGTACATAGAGTGCTACAATGGGTTTCTAGAGACCCATAGTTGCCCAGAGGGTCTGTGGTTCAGCGCCTTCGAGAAACGGTGCGTGAGTGCCCAGGACTCCGGCTGTGGTCAGTACACCACGGAAGGACCCACCCAATGGACCGTCCCTCCGGATGAGTGCTTAGGCGTCCCTCCTGGGAGAATAATCCTCCATCCCTACCCCGGCGACTGTAACAAGTTCATCGAGTGCGTGGGTGCCCAAATGACTATCATGTCTTGTCCTCCGTACCTCTACTTCAACTACGCAAGGCAAATGTGCGACCAAAAGGACTTGTCGGGTTGCGATGGTACCTAGACATTGTTGTTGTGACTTAGGTATTCATTCCGTTGGTTGTTTTAGACACCACTGGTACTCCCCCGATTTCCACGGTCACGCCTCCCCCGGATGACGCCTTCGACGACCCGAGGTGTGGCAATGGTAACAACGAGTACTGGCCGAATGTGGAGTGCACAACGTACATTGAGTGCTACGCAGGGCATGGGCACATAAGGGATTGTCCCAGTGGGTTGTACTTTGACGAAGACACAAAGAAATGCGTGGACCCGAGCCAAACCACTTGTGGTAGGTCTGGGTGATGTGGTGGTAGGGTTTTCAATGGGTGTTTCAGGACGCCCGGATCCGACAGACCCGCCGACGCAGCAGACCGATCCGGACTGGACCCCCGATCCGGACTGTCCGTGGCCCAGTACCGATACGTACCGGTTCGTTTATCCGGGAGACTGCACCAAGTATTTGGAGTGCGTAAATGGAGAGAAAGTGGTCATGTATTGTCCTTATGATCTATGGTTTAGCCCCACTTTCTTGATCTGTGTTTATCCGTACATGTCTGGGTGCATCTGGGGCAACTAGTGTTATTGTATGAAAATATACAAGATTGTGATCAAGTAATGAATAAAGTTCAAAAAAATCTCAAGATATTCATTTTAGTCTCCATATTTTGACATGTGTCAAACAAATTCTAAGTTAAAAAAAACTTGACAAAATCAATAACAAACGAAATAAACATGATATGAACATGAAACAAAATAAAATGCAAATAACAACTCGTTTCTTAGCAACTCAAATTTACACGACTCGATCCCGAAGGTGGCCTCTATTTCAACCCATTCATTCCTCTGGATGGTTCGCCAGCGCCGCGTCGAGGTTTTTCTGGACCCCGCAGTCGAGACTTCCGGCAACCCGGTCCAGGTTTCTTCTCCCTCCACTTGTTCCCTTCTTCGGTCACTGGAAGAGGACTAGTTAATCTTGGGTAGTCGGTCGGAGACGATGACGGAGCGGAATACCCCCCAGTTAATACCAAAGCACACTCTACCTTTTCTGCGGAATTTCGACAGAACTTCGCTCGCCCGTCAAGTGGAGCACAACAAATAATACTTCCGCAGAAGGCGCAAATTGAAAAATGAAATATACTTAAAATAGACAACAAATCGGAAAAATCGAAAAATCAAAAACTTTAAAAAACGAAAAATCAAAATACCCAAAAATCGATAAAATATTCAAATCCTGAAAAATCGAGTATTGAAAACTTGAAAAATTGAGAAATCCAAGCATCAAAAAGTAGTAAAATTGGAAAATGTAAAATTTAAAACATTCAAAAATTGAGAAATAAAAGAAAAGAAAAATCAAAAATTTAAAAATTCGAAAAATTGAACAATTAAAATATCGAAAAATTGAAGAATTGGGAAATCGAAACACCAAAAAAATCAAAAAAACAAAAACCTAAAATTCAAACTCGAAAAGCCAAAAAGTCGAAAAATCGAAACATCGGAATGTTCAAAAACTGAAACATCGAGAAATCAAAACATCAACAGTAGAGGAGTCAAAAAATCAAAAAATTAAGAAATCAAATTAGACCAAAATTGAAAAATCGAAAAGTTAGTAATTGAAAAATTGAAACATTTTAAATGAAAAAAAAAATCGGCAAAAGTCGAAAAATTGAAAAATCCTAAAAGTGAACACACCGGAAAATTGAAAAATCGAAAAATGAAAACACCGAGAAATCGAACGTTTGAGGAATCGAGAAATTGAAAAATCGAAAAATCGAAATATGGAAAAATTAAGTAAGCGAAAAATTGTAAAATTGAAGAATTGAAAAACTGAAAAATTGAAATCATTAAACGTCGAAAAATCGGCAAATGGAAAAATCGAAAAATCGATTAATCGAAAAATTAGATATGCCAAAAATTGAATATTTGGAAAACCGAAAAATTGAAAAATTCGAAAACTGAAACATCGAAGAATTGACAAATCGAAGTGGAAAAATCGAAAATTAAAAAAATTGAAAAATCAAAAATCAAAAACCTGAAAAAACAAAAACTGAGAAATCGAAAAATTGAAGACCTGAAAAATTGGAAAAACCAAAACATTGACAAGTCGGTAAATCTTAATGGGAAAATCAAAAAATCGATTACTCAAAAAATTGAAAATTTAAAAACGCCCGAAATTGAAAAATTGGAAAATCTCCAAATAGAGACATCAAAAAATCCAAAAACATGAAAAATTAAAAAATTAAAAAATTGAAAAGTCTAAAACCGAAAAACCAAGAGATAAAGAAATCGAAAATCTAAGAATGGAAAATTCAAAAAAATTAAATAATCCGAACATCGGAGATTTCAAAACTGAAATATCGAGAAATCGAAACAAGCTAAATTCTAAAAATTGAAAAATTGTCAAATCAAATATTTTAAAAATCGAAAAATTGAAAAGCCAAAAATCCAAAACCGAGAAGTCGAAAAATCGAGAAGTCGAAATACCAAAAAACTGAAAAATAAAAATTCTTAAAATTGAAAAATATATAGAAATGTGGAAGAATTTTGAAAAATCGAAAAATTAAGAAATCGACGAATCGAAAAATCTAGAATTTTAAAAATTGCTAAAATAAAATATCAAAACATTGAAAAATTGAAAAATCGAAACCACGAAAAGTCTAAAAATCGAGAAATGGAAAAATCAAAACATTGATTAAATGAGACATTGAGAAATCGAAAAATTGAAAATTTAGGAACCTCAGAAATTGAAAAATTGAAAAATCGAAAGAACTGAAAAATCCTAAAACTGAACACATCAGAAAACTGAAAAAATTCCAACACTGAAATATCGAAAAATTAAGTAAGCGAAAAATTGAAAACCGAGAAATTGAAAAACCGGAAAATTGCAGAATCTAGAAATAAAAAATTTTCAAAATCGAAAAGTTAAAAACCATAAATCTAAAACCGAGAAGTCGCAACTGAAAAATTTAAAAGTACAGAAATCGAGAAAACGAAAAATCCAAAATTTTTAAAACTGAAAAATTAAATTATCAAAACACTGACAAATTTAAAAATCGAAAAAATGGAAAACCCAAAAATCTAAACCGATAACTTGGAAAATCGAATAATCGACAAATCAAAACATCAAGGAAAACAAAAAAATTAACGGAAAATCTAGAACTTAAAAATTGAAAAATTAAAATACCTATCGAAAAATTGAAAAACCGAGATATCGAACCATCAAAAAAGGAAAATCTGAAGAACCGAAACATTGCAAAATCCCAGAACTGAAATACTGAAAAACTGAAAATTGGAAGGAAAATTGAAACATCAAAAAAGTGAAAAAATTCAAAACTGAAATCTTGAAAAACTGAAAAATGGAAAGAAAATTGAAGAATCGGAAAAGTGAAAAAATCCAAAATTGAAACATTGAAAAATTCAGAAATCGAAAAATTGAAAAATCACAATTGAAGGAAGAATTGAAAAATCGAGAAATAGAGAAATGGGAAAATAAAAAAATCAGTTAATCGAAAAATTTAGAAACGTCAAAAATTGAAAACTGAAAAATAAAAAAAATTAAAAATCGTAAAACTGAAACATCGGAAAATTGAGAAATCGAAAAATGAAAAAAATCGAGAAACCGAAAATATGAAGAATCGAGAAATCGAAGAATCGATAAATTGAAAAATCCCAACAGTAATATATCGAAAAATTGAGAAATCGAAATCGAGCAAAACTGAAAATTTTTGAAAAAAAAATCGTATCAAAAACTAAAAATTAAAAAAATCGAGAAATTGAACAATCAAAAAATCAAAACATTGAAATCTCAGTAAGTTGATAAATAGGAAAATTTAAAAATCAAAAATTTTAAAAATCCAAGAATTGAACAACAAAAAAATCCAAGTCTGAAAACTCAGAAAATCGAATGATCGAGAACTCAAAACATCAAAGAAAACAAAAAATCTAAAATTTAAAAATTCGACAAATTGAAAAATCATGGAACTGAACAATCGAAAAGTCGAGGTAGTGAGAAATCTAAAAACCTAAAACTTTAAAAACTGAAAAATTAAAATATCGAAAAATTTAAAAACCGAGAAAACAATATCAAAAATTTGAAAAATTGAAGAAACGAAATATTGCAAAATTCCAAAGCTGAAATATTGAAAAACCCAAAATTGGAAGGAAAATTAAAGAATCGAAACAGTGAAAAAATCCCAAACTGAAACATTGAAAAATTGAGAAATGGAGAAATGGGAAAATCAAAAAAATCGGTCTAAAGAGTTTAGACGGTACTTCCCTCGCTACCGGAAACGTGACGACTGCATGCCTATTATGTTTTTTTTTCACATTAGATTTCAAAGCATTCGGTTTTGTAGTTCCTGAGTGAATGAATAAAATAAATTTGCGCATTTATTAAATTTTTTGAGTCACCCTGTATATCCGAATCCAAAAAATATGAATGGAATGGGAAATTACAAGAAAAGACTCATCATATTTTGTACATTTTAGATAGGATTTATTCAGCAAAATTTTGAGGTGACGTCATGAATTTTTTAGAGGGAATAAGTAAATATATTGTGATTTGAAGCGGTCCTGGTTTAATAACAAAAAAATATTGTTCGTCTATGAAACAAGCTCGTCTTAGACAAAGTATTCGTAAAAAAAATATGTCGTAGAACAATGTACTTATGCTTTCGGGTGCCCAGTAGCAGACCGAAAAATGAGCTAAATAGAAGTTCATTGCACGGGCGTAATTTTACTTCGAAAAAAAGATCGACATTTCAATTGATAGATTATGTCTAAATCTCTGGGGAAGACACAATATTTTTTAAAATAAGTGATTGTTTAGTGTTTGATTAATCGTTCATTCTTCGAAGGAAATTCAATTTTTAGACGAGGAGAGAACATGTTTCGCTTCAACTTTTATATCAGTGCAAAGACAACATTGAGCTCTATGGGGAAGAACCGGTCATTTTTGTTTAAAATTTATATTGACTAAAATATTTGCGTTTTAAAAAAATATTGAACAATGAAAATAACGTGAAACTAGGCAACCCTATTTACAAGGGATCCGTTTCAATTGGTTGAGTTTTACACAGCAGCTTTTTGGAGTTTCTCTAGAACCTTTAGAATCTTTCAAGTATTCGGAACAGAATTTTAGCTTTTGAACCCTTACAGCCCTTAGATCCTTTAAAATATTTAGTCTTTAGAGTATTTAGTAATTTCTAGGATCACTATTACCCCCAGGTTTTTTAAATTTTTTAAGATTTTATTGGATCTTTATTGTATTTAGTACATTAGAACTTTAGTTTATTTACAATTTAGAATTTCTATAATCTTATCTTATCAAGTATCAGCTCCGCCCACCCACTCTTTATTTTTTTCAAGAGTATGTCATTTACTAAAATCAGTCTGACGCTAATAAGTACTCGCCCCGCCCTCCCGCCCTATATTTTCTTAAAGAGTATGGAATTTGCCACAATCAGTTTTGTCCTAGCAAGTACTACCTAAAATACAACTGATTTTGGCAGATGGCATAGCTTCTAAAAATAGAGAGGGTGGGTGGGCGGGGCTAGTAGCTGCCATGATAAACTGATTTTG